ATCCAAGTATCAATGAGAATGACAGCAATAACCAACATTGATGGATTCAATTTCTGCATCATATTGATGTCACTGAAACATTTATAAATGCTTATAATGCATCACTTCTTATCATGAAAAGTTTTCTTTTAGAAAAAAGCAAATGAATCAAAGTGACATATAAAAAACCGAAGCAGAAAAAGGTATAAAAGATATGAAAAAGGAGCGATCAATGCGACACCAAACGCAACTAGAAAGCAAATAGCTATATAGATGATTCAACTTTGTTTTACTCTCGCTCGTTTCTTTCTTGCTTTTTTGTATTATTTTGCCTTTCCTTTTATTTTATTTTTCCATGTCCTATAAAAAATGCGTCAAATAATAAATGGATATTGATAGTTTATCATTCTACACCTATTATTTTTACACTACTATCGAATTTTTTTCTGAAGCATTGATTCAACAATACAAGTTGTTGTGCTTTTTAAAATGCTTTTCCTTGCTGTTGATCAGCTTTGGTATTATCCTGACACGTAAAAGACTAGTCATAGTTTAAGTAGGACACTATTCGATCATCATCGTAATATGGAAGCATTGCCAAGTAGAGATAGTGTAAGGTAGTGAGACTTGAAAGAAGTCGTTTGCTAGTGGGAGTGAGGATAGGCGATGGTTATTTCTTCCAATACAACTATTTTATGTTACTTTTATTTATTACCTTTATCATTATTATTATTATTATTCTCTGGCTAGTACAATGACAATCAAAGCAGTACCTGAAAACAACTTATACTACAAGAAGAATCAAGAAATGAACATCCAACAAAATAATTAGATTGCTTTCACAACGAGATACAGCATGCTCTAGGTTAAGGAAAAGCAAATCAGAATCCAGCGATTTTTAATCATGGAAGGAATATCACGATGAGGATTGGTTGCAACGAGCACATATTTTTGCGACTTCTTGCATAAGAGAAGAGGAACCTTGGTGCTATGCTTGCATGTATTTGATGGAGCTAAACCATGTAACAAAAGTGAACCAAAATAACTTTGAAGTACTTTCAATATTAATAAAGTAAAATAATGTAACTTTTCTTACTATTTTTCACTTTTTATAGTACTTTCTCATACTTTTTCACTTTAAAAAATACTTAATAGTACTTTTTAGTCAAAAAGTATGAAAATTACTTAAAAAGGTTCACTTATAAGTACTTTGTCCTGTTTAAAAAACTTTTGAAAGTACTAAAAAGTTACTTTTTGGCCACTTTTTTTTACATGGGAATTTGCCATTGATTGTCTAATTGGGATCGTACCATTCGCAAATCGTAAGTACCACCGGTAATCCACAGTTCTTCCTCACCTTCGTTACGCTGCAAGCAATGTGTGGCAGTGACTTTGGCTTTGACACGACAAGTGCTAGCATCGATAAAGGTTACATCATGGTTACCTACAAGGTGATGCGTAGACTTGAATCCAGCCAACATTCCATTCCATGTCTGCATATTAACTAGATGGGGTAAGCCTTTATTCGGTTCTCCTCCAACCATACTTGTGTAGTCGGCGTCAAAGTACCCCTCAAAACAATCGAGTGAGTAGTCAAAATCACGTTCGTCGATGCCATTGGCATATCAATTGAGACGGAGGATAACAGCAAAAGGATCCTGTGAAGTTGAAGAAGAAAAGAGTGTCATAATATTAGCAGTGGCAAAGAAATGATAATGCGATTATTGTGACGGCAACGAAAGGGTAGAAAAGAAAAGAAAAAAAAGAGAGAAAATATATGCAGAAGGACAGAAGCATCTAAGAATAAGAAAAGAGCAAGCGTATAAAAACAAAAGGAGAAAAAGAAAGATTGTGAAATAAATAATGTAAAAAGTTGATTTTTGGGAACTTTTTGAAGATAGCAAGGATTAACACATGAAAGGTATAACATGACACATTAAGTAGGTGTCACCGACATCGATAACCGGCCAGTGGAGCATGCTAAAAAATTTCTCTATCAACTGATCGTAAAATAAGAGCAAGCACGACGATGTAAGAATGTGCTAAACAAGGTCAGTAAGCATTAGTAGTGATTATTAATCTCCTTTTGGTTCTGTTTCACTGTTTTCTTATTAGGAGTTACTAGTGGACGTGAGTATGTATCTCTCCTTTACACAAACCTAAGCCTACATTTGCCCACATCTATCTGGATCCCCTCCTCACCACAACCGTGTACTAATATCCGATCTGATCACGTCCACATGCAAAACAAATAACAATAGTGGAAATTTTTCCATCATCACCGATTCATTTTTTCATTCATACATCTGCCCACAATTCATCAACTGCAAATTCGTGAGACAATATAGTGTAGCACAGAAAAAAAGAATTAAAATACAACACGTCTCATTCACTAAAGGGAAAAACCTTGAAAAAAAAATAGAAGAACAGCGTTGATAAGAAAATAACAAGAACAATGACAAGAGTTATTGCACCACACTGAGTAAGAAGCATTGCTGACGCAGATGAATATGTCAATATTATGATAAAATACCATCTGGAGAAGTCAAAGTACAAAACTAGATGAAAACAACTATTACATTTACAGCATCGAGTCACAATTGAAAAGCTATTAGTGCAATCTCTGCAGAATTAAAATATGAAACAACATACAGCTGTTACTGCTTGTTAGGTTTAACTTTTACCTGTCTTTTCTTTATTCTTTGTCGCCTATCTCTTCTTGTCAATCGAATGACAACTATATATATATAAGCAAAACAAAGGGGAAATTTCCAACAAAAAGAACGAAAGGAATAATCCAAGCACGAGAATATCATATAAGTTTGAGAAAGAAAGAAAACAACAAAGATAGTGGAGCTAAGGATGTAGCCACTACCTAACACTGCTAATCATAGGAATATCTTTTAGGCTATGTATTTCGAGATAGTATATTTTTTCATCTTTCTTTTACGTAATTCTCTAGAAATTTAATTTGAAAGTATGCCACATATTACGACGAGACGTTATTGATATACACTCTGTGACTCTCTTGGCCTGGCTTCTGTCGCGATCTAAGGGATCCGAATTTCTATCTGATATATTTCAATATTCTTTTTAGATTGTGTTTCACAAAATTAGGAAGTGTGCCAATATATTGCAGAACCAGTGAGCAACGCCAACTTTTAGTAAAGACCAAAATCAGGTAAGAAATTCACAGATTTCGCATTGTCAGTTTCTCGAAAACACCGGATCTGATCTTTTACTTGCGCTCAAATAAATGGTCGAGTTAGTTGGAGGAGAAAAGAAAACACTGCTTCCCTCAGTTGTTTCTCAAAATAAATAATGAGTTGAGTAAACATTTCCTATTCATCTCATGTGCTAATGATAGACAAAGACCAATTGTTACAACTTTATTTTTGTCGTGGTAAAAAGAATATTAGATTAACTATGAAATGTAATCATAAGTTAAATTCTTTGACATTACATATCACCCAATTTCTAATTGATCCACAATACCATAATTTTCAACAAATTTATATTAATTCCTTACACCTTGTCTCTTATTCCTAGATTATGTGAGTGGGTGTGGTCAGAGTAAAAAATAAAAACCTACAGTCTCGTAGGGGATGTGAGACTGTTCAGTAAAGTCGAGACCAAATAGGCGACAGACGGGAAAAATAAATCATGATGAATGCAGTGAGAGAAAAAACAACTTGAGAAAGTCTCACGTGAAAATTGATTAGCAATAGATTCTTTCCAATACACAAACAGCATTCATTTTGAGTTGAATCAACTTCTCGGATTATTAATATTAGAAATCTATTATTATGACTGATGTACGACTAGTAGCAAATTTGAATGACAACGCAACGAAAAAAATGATTACTATTCATGGAATTCAAACCGTGTATCTTTCGTTATCTGAACAGATGTTCTATACCAATTAGATTGGAAAGGATACTCAATATTCGCTTAGACACAAAGAGGAGCTCTCCGCTCCTGACACTGAATACTTTTGTTATGTGCTTGATTGTAAATGAGTGGGAAAATACTTTACCGTTTATCACTAGAGATCAGTGATTGTTCAAAATTAAGAAATCCTTAATTCCATCTCTTTCATATATTTAGACAAAATATGTCAAGACCAGAGGTAGCACCAAATTCAACAGCGTCGATTGAGAGAGAAGAGATTGAAAACGAAGATTCTGAAGATGTTATTGTAGATGAAAAAACTATTGCAGCTGCTACAACTGAACACGATAGTGAATTAGTGTCGCTTGATAAAGATGTCGTTGCTAAAAAATGGACTCTTTCGTTGGGACATGGCTATGCCAATCAGTGGCAGAAAGCAACGGAAAATGATGAAATATCAGATCGAACCGGTGTGTTTGTCCTTAGCCTGTTAGGTAATACGACGGCTGGTAAAAGTTTTGTTACGAAACATTTGTTAACAAATGCTGAAAATGGTCCACAAATTGTTGATGAAAGTGACATAGAAAGTAGTCAGTGTCAGGAGCGGAGAGCTCCTCTTTGTGTCTAAGCGAATATTGAGTATCCTTTCC